GCTCGCGCGCGCGTCTGCTCTGTCGGCGAGGAAACGAGGGAGCCCGAGGTGCCGGAGGCCCCGGACGCACTGCGGCCCAGCGGTGGTGTTTACAGGGACGGGCTCCGAGGTAGTTTTGGCTACAGCCAAGGGTGGGTATCTGGGTGCGCGACCCGGAGGTGCTGGCCGCGCTTCAGCTCCCGAGGCCTCGTGCGGAGGGGACACGTGACATCTGCCGTGTCGTTCCCGCGGCAGAGCAAGGCCGTCAGCATTCCCAGAAGACCAGCCTCTGTTCTTGCTTCCTCTGTTGAGCCTGCATTTAACTTGCTCATTAAAACCACAAAACTGGACTCTTTCAGAAACTTAGACTGGTTTCCATAATGGAAGAAGGGCCACTGTGGCCCCAGACAGTGCCAGGAGGTGCGGGGGGGACATGGCACCAACTGGGCAACAGCAGAGACGAGTCACCGGTGGGTGTCAGCCCCCTCCCTGGAGAACCATCAGACCCACGGGGCGGGGAGGCCACCGTTGCCCCACCTCCAGCTCCCCGGCCACTGGCTCCCCCTGGGCTCCCCGTGATCCCCTGTGCCTCTGAGACGCCTGACTGCAGGGGTTTCTGTCTAAAACTGCAATAGGTCACTTGTCTCCTGGGACCCCACGGGGGCCCAAAGTGAATAAAAACACAGGACAAGTGAGGACGACTGTCCAGGCCCAGGAACCACAGGCAGTGTCAGATGGCAGCAGAAAGCCACCCTGAGCCCCCAGTAAGGGGACGCTGGGGGGGAGGTGGGCGCCTGGCTGGGTGGTCAGGCTTCCACCCCAAGGACCACGGGGGGCTGCAGGGGCAGCCAGGGCCGGCGGAGGCAGCAGGGCAGACTGTGAGCCCAGCGGGCGCCGGCTTCCTGTGGCCTGGCCCGTGTGCCTGCGCAACCATCCAGGGCAGTCCTGTTCACGGCGGGGAGTGGCCGCTTTCACACGGGGAGTGGCCGGAGGGCTTTGAACCCCACACCATGCCTGCAAAGGAGAATGAGGATAACCTCACCTACCCCACCCCAAGCCTGGTTGGGAGAAAAGGGACTGTGGGACCATGGGGCAGGACTGTTACAGGGACGTGGGAGCCCGGTGCAGCTGGCTCGAGTGGCTAGCCCACAGCGAGGATGCACTGGCCCTTCATCCCCTGACCCCTTGCTCGGGGGGAGGCCACCCCTCCCTGCCCGCCACAGACACTCAGCAGCACGCCCTGCCACACACGCGTCCCCACGGTGAGGGGCTTCTGAGTCTGACCCCATCTGAGGGCAGCAAGGACCCGCGTGCAGGGCGAAGGCGGAGAATCGCTCCCCCGCTGGAAGCGTCCTCATCCTCTCCCCAGGTAAGCTGTGTGAGCACGCGGATTTCTGCCGTTGCCTCCCAGTCCAGACACTTCCAGGGTAACAGGAAGGGCAGTTAGTCTCAGAGACCCTACATGGAGGTCTTCAAAAGAATACTCGGCCCCTCCAAATCTCAGGCGTCCTTTCACAATCACACAGACCCAGCCTGGAAGCCGATTCAGTGGAGTTATGTTGAGTTTGATGACAAGTGCTGGGGGACACAAGCAAATAAAAGATGTGGTGGCTGCCTTCAGGAGGCCCACGGTCTGGGTCAGCCACCAGGGTGCCACGTCCCAGCCGAGCCGCAGACACAGGGAGGTGGGAGACCACCAGCTCCTGCTGCTCCAGCACCCACCTCCAGACTTGTTTTATCTTCCAAAGGGGTGACGAGTTTGGTAACAGAATAATAGTCATGAACCAGAGTCGATGGCCGAGGCCTCTGCACACCCCGCCGGCACCATGCGGTGGGAGCCAGGAGTGAGTCCGCACGCGTGCAGCCAGCAGGCAGGTGGCCGTGCACGTGGCCCTGAGCGCGCCGGCTCCCCGAGGTCGTGGGCCCCGCTGCGACACAGCCCACACTCGGCCCCACCCCCCAGAATAACTGGCTGGCTTGGGTGCGGATTATCTAGCTGCTTGTGAACTGGGCTGAATGTTTGGTAGGGGTCCCTGCACGGGGCCCCCGGGTCACTCCCCCAGCTCCCAGGTTTCTACTGCGGCGTGGGAAGGTGGACGCTTGGGAAGGGCGGCCACCCCGACGGAACAGTGAGGCTGGTCCCAGACATCACTCAGGTCCCGGCTTCCCGGCCCGGCGTCCTTCTGACCCTCACGGAAGGTCTGCGTGTTTCTACAGACAGGTGACCGCGGTTTAAAGACACCTCAGCCTGTAAGGACAACCCCGACACTTCAACGGCCGGCAGACAGCAGCAGGGACAGACGCGAGAGAGCGCAAAGCGAGGAAGAGGAGCCTTACCGGGACGCCGCTTTGCGGGGGTCCGTCCTTCTTCCCTCGCCACACCCAGACAGCCCATCAGCTCCGGCAGGGAGACGGATCTGTCGTCGTTCACGTCGCAGAACTCCACAAACTTCTTCACGCACTTCTTGGGTTTGGATTTTTTCCGAAGGAACCTCTTGAAGGGCTTAATCTCTTTCTTGCCGATGTCCCCGCTGGCATTTTTATCAAGCAGTCTGAAGTACCAGTGGACCACTCTCTCCTCTAGCGTGTGGCTGGGGTCCGGTTCGGAGAGCCTGGAAGAGCACACAGGTCGTCAGGAGCCTGGCCCCACGCCACCTCTCCCGGCCCTGGCCCTGGTCTGCGCAGCGAGGGCTCCCCGGGCTCCAACTTGCCCAGAGGAGGACCCTCTTCTCGCCCTTTCAGTCCTGATGCCTGAGGCTGTGTGGATTTGCCATGAAATGATTTTTAAAAGTAACTTAGAAAAAGATTTAGCAAAAAGGTTTCAAGTTGGTTTCAAAATTGCAGATGGTGCAGTGAACACGTGCATGTCCATGACGCGCTTGGCATTGGCAAGTCTTGAGGAAAAGCCCTGGGGAGGTAGACGGTCAGCTCATACACCCCACCTGCAAAGCTGGGACCCCGAGGTTCTCTCCTCTTTCCATTGTGACTCCTGGGCCACGGGTAAACTGACAGGTGCACACTAGCATACATCAAAGTGGTAACTAGTCGTCTTTCCTTGGATTAAAAAAAGAAAAGCTTGACACTTTGAGAGAAATAAAAGCTCTCCCAGAAGGCCTGGCTTTGAGGCAGGTCTTTGAAACTGTCCCCATCACCCCAATGTGCCTCCTCACTAAGAGGAAGACGTGGGCGGGGGCTCCCACACCCGTTAGCCCTCCCTCCTCGGCTGGCCGTCAGCCTCTGTGTCCCCGTGAGTGCAGAGCGGCTTACACACCGAAAGTCCACAGGCACCAGGGCTACTGGATGCTATGGAACATTTTTCGGATGTTCAGAGGAGCTTCTCAAATAACAATTCATTTACTGCTTTCAATTGTGCTTTTACAGATGAGAGCCATCTTTCTAAGTGTTTAAGACGTCAGCTGGACACTGGGGTGATTTTTCTGGCTTGTTTTGTTGTTTGACTTGCATCCTGATTCATCAGCACTGCCTTGTTTTTCTTCTCTTGTCTTAACTCTTAAGCAGACACAGAGAGAGGACAGCTTTGAACTATGGAGACCAGAAGGCTTTAGATCACCTAGAACAGATGAGATGATCGAGGCCTGGGGTGGGAGGGGAGGAGGGCTGGTGCTCTGAGGAAGTAAAGACAGTAGGATTCTCCATCAGAAACTGTGCTCTAGGGGCGGGGAGCGTGTGCTTAGCATGTACGAGGTCCTGGTTCAGCTCCCAGAACTTCACTAAAAATAAATAAATAAACCTAATCCTCGCCCCCCCACCCCCCCGGCCAAAAAAAAAGGAAAAGAAAAAAATTAATGCTGGAGGTGCATTTTTAGAAAAAGAAAGAAAATGTGCTTTAAAATAAAGAGATTAATATTGCTGCTAATGGACAGGGGAGAGCCAAAGCTGGAAACGCCACGTCTGTTAAACACTGGGGGCTTCCCGCCCACGAGGGGCCCACGGAGATGGAAGAGCTTCGGGGGATTTGCAGTCCATCTGGGAGCCAAATGCAGAGGCTTGGACCCAGAGCTGCAGAATGCCGGCAGCACGTGGAGCAAGTGTCTAGGGTCAGAAGCTGGGTTTTGGGGTGGGAAGGGTATAGCTCAGTGGAAGAGCGTGTGTTTAGCAAGCACGAGGTCCTGGGTTCAATCCCCAGCACCTCCATTAAAAAACAAACAAACAAAAAAGATAAATAAGCCTAACTACCTCGGCCCCCCAAAAAGTTAGATTTTGAACTGTGTTAATGTAATGAATGCCACTGGACTGCAGATTTGAAAGTGGTTGAGATGGTACATTTTATATATATTTCACCTAAAGGAATTGAATTTTGAGAATCTTAAACTGAACATTTTTATCAATGTATTTAAAATCCCATCCATAGCTCTGAAGTATGATTCCAAAGTGGGAAGCCCTCTGGACTGGGGCTCTTCCTTCCCAGTCTCCTCCCGCCCACCACCCCCGCCCCGCCTGAGGGAACTGGGGGAGATCCCAGGGCCGGGGCCCTGTCCCGTGGCGCTGAGTCCTCCCTGGTCTGATCGCCTCA